ATGTTGTTAAATGCTCACATTAATAACTTAACTTAATTAAGAGTTATCCAAACTTTGAGTTATTTATTACAAGGTTTTATTTATGACGGCATATTTGATGATTTTGTTCGTTTTTTTTTCATATTACAACCATCAACCAAATAGGACCAATGGTCAAATGGAGTGCATAACACAGATGACTTACAGGCCAAACTCCGGAGTCGAACTATGGTGTTTTAGTATTGTACACCACCGTAACATTGATTGTTTTATTTCAAAATCTAACATTTTTAATTTGACGCAGTCTTGAATTTGAGTCATGTTTGGCGGTGGATTACCCAGGTGCAGTGACTTGATTATTCAACATTCTAACAGTTGTGTTGGTCGGCACACAGTCCCTCAATGGTCGGTACACAGTCCCTCAATGGTCGGTACATATAAAAACAAATGCTTACATCATAACAGTTCTGCATGAACCGCTGATATTTCTGAGCATATTCGTTGTTATTACTCGAACTGTAACCGATTTGGGGGGGGGGGTGATCGATTGGGACAGATTATATTTGTAAGATCATCGAGTTGAAATCGAAAGTAAAATTTAGTGTTGCTAGCTAAGAACATTGCAAGTCAACTTATGAGACCAACTTACCAAGTTCGTTTTCCGAGGTCGTACGTAGGCATATTAGCTGTATTTCTCCGATCAGGTTATTACATTTTTCCACGGTATGCTGCGATGGAGTTTCGTCCAGTAGTTCAAGTAATTCTGCTAGTTTACTTTGCAGTTCCGAACTAGGCATTTTGCAAACCAACTCGTAGTAGTACCTGCCGCTTCGGCGTAGTGGACCCTCTAGTGCAGAGTTAAAATGTCTATTTCCGCTAAGGGCGCCACCTAAGTTATTGCTACTAAACACGTACTAGGGGGCGTGTTTGCAAAAATCAGGGTCCCTGTATAAAGGGACTCGAGCAAAAATGAACATCCGACAAGTCTTAGCTTGAAACCTGTACGTTATCTTCCGGGTTCTCTGCTGGTCACAGAGGTTTTTTTATACGATTTTCAGAAGAATATGTCGAACTCTGCTAATTCTTTATTTGCCCCTCAAAAAACTTACGCAATTCAATTTCTGATTCAATTACTAATGTGCAATAGAGTATTTTGTTTAACAACTGATAATTTCCACCAAGAGCTTACTCACAAATCCCGAAAAACACCATGTGTACATTTGTTGCGAACAAGTATTTATAAATATCGAAAGTTCAAAACTGATTTTTTGCCGATTTTGATACCCAATTTTAATGAAGGTGTGACATTGTTGGTTATCGGTTATTAAAATCACCACAATGTCGTAATTTCAAATTGTCACGCGATAATGTAAACGTCAATTCAAAGTAAATTCATTTAAACACCAAAAATCTAAATTAATTTTATTTGTATTCTGACTGCGATGATTTATAACAACAATAATGACTCCCCCACCCACACACACAGCGTCATATTGGATTTGTAGAAAGGTCTGCACGCGATAATGTGTTCGCTTTGCCTCATACATTATCTTCTCATAGACCCCCAATATGGGGAATACAATCGAACTCGGCCAGATTTCAACTCGGCCAGTTGTGAATGTTGAGGTGTAAACTGGTCATTGGTCAACAATTTTCTAAGAAAAAGCTCTGCTATGTAAAAACACTAAAACTAATGTTTCAATTTGTAGCAGTTTTGTATGGCGCAACATTTTTATTGTGTGATCCTTAATGCATTTTATTTTTCAGATCCATTACAAAATATTGTGAAGATTTACGAGTTGCATCAGCACAGTCACAATCGGCCCTAACCCATGCTGTGTTTAAATGAACTAAGGCAGTAGTGTTTTAGATCGATTCACGGATGGCTTTGTAGTGGGTAGTTGTTTATTAAACAAGATTTACTCACCAAAAGTTCTTTATTTTCAACTTGTCACTGTGCTCGGCAAACAGGAAAAGGCTACAATGCTTCATGCGCGGAACCAAGCTATGTATACATTGCTTATATATTTAAAAACACAACGCGGTTACTACCAGATTATTACATCATCTATACCATTTTTCTCACCCAGTGTGATTACACTCACACATATATATTGTCTGTAGCTGGGGGAGCAGTATATATGTATGAAAATAAAAATAATAAGAACATTATAACGGTTAATCGGTGGAAAAAAACATGGATTTAATAAGATACCTTCAAGGAATAACAAAAACATTTTGGCAAAGCGTCCCGGTTTTATTGGAACGTTCACAGCCATGGCTGCGTCCTCTAGCGGCTGATAGCCATAAGCAGAATTCTCTGCCAAATTCTGCTAGGAATGAAAACACCTTTACACAACTTGTTACTTTCAAAAAAATAATTTTATTTGGGAAAAGTACAGACCAATTTGAACACTGCAATTGGTAAATAAATGCAAGTACACCGTTCTTGTAAGATACGAGTTATTTGTAAATAAATGTAAATACGCCGTTCTTGTAAGATACGAGTTATTGGTAAATAAATGCAAATACATCGTTCTTGTAAGATACGAGTTATTGGTAAATAAATGTAAATACATCGCTGTGAAGGTTTCATTGCTTCATTATAGACAGAAACGTTAAGCCTATTATCATTCGGGTTCGAGTGGTCGCCTTGTTTCCGATCCATCTTGTATATATATATGACATTTAATAGTTTGACATTTAATAACCATCTACAAACAATAAATAAACATCTTGCGTTATTGTGCTGTGTATGAAATGTCTATTGTTCGCCGTCGTGTTAAAAAGGCAATTGTTCTGCTTTAGGGGGGGTGAATATTAGTACAACCTCATAGTTCCGTATGATCACCATTGGCAAGTGAGTAAAAATTATTATTAGCTCAGCAGACCAGTGAGTAAAATATTGTCTAAGTAGACCAGTGGGTAAGATATTATCATCCCAGACCAGTGAATGAGATGTTATCAGCTCAGCAGACCATTGACCGAGATATTATCTCAGTTGATCAGTGGGTGGGATAATATTTTCACCCCAGACCAGTGAGTGTGATAATGTTAACTCAGTAGACCAGTGAGTGTGATAATGTTAACTCAGTAGACCAGTGAGTGTGATAATATTAACTCAGTAGACCAGTGGGTATGAAAATATTAACTAAGTAGACCAGTGCGTGTGATAATATTACCTCAGAAGACCAGTGAGTGTGGTAATATTAACTCAGTAGACTAGTGAGTGTGAAAATATTAACTCAGTAGACCAGTGGGTATGAAAATATTAACTAAGTAGACCAGTGCGTGTGATAATATTACCTCAGAAGACCAGTGAGTGTGATAATATTAACTCAGTAGACCAGTGGGTGTGAAAATATTAACTCAGTAGACCAGTGAGTGTGGTAATATTAACTCAGTAGACTAGTGAGTGTGGTAATATCATCTCATCTCAGAAGACCAGTGAATGAGATGATATTAACTCAGTAGACCAGTGAGTGTGATAATATTAACTCAATAGACCAGTGAATGTGATAATATTAACTCAGTAGACCAGTGAGTGTGGTAATATCATCTCATCTCAGTAGACCAGTGAGTGTGATAATATTAACTCAGTAGACCAGTGAGTGTGATAATATTAACTCAGTAGACCAGTGAGTGTGATAATATTAACTCAGTAGACCAGTGGGTGTGAAAATATTAACTAAGTAGACCAGTGAGTGTGATAATATTATCTCAACAGATCAGTGAGTGTGATAATATTATCTCAACAGATCAGTGAGTGTGATAATATTATCTCAGTAGATCAGTGAGTGTGATAATATTATCTCAACAGATCAGTGAGTGTGATAATATTAGCTCAGTAGACCAGTGAGTGTGATAATATTATCTCAGTAGATCAGTGAGTGTGATAATATTATCTCATCAGATCAGTGAGTGTGATAATATTATCTCAGTAGATCAGTGATTGTGATAATATCATCACGGCAGATCAGTGAGTGTGATAATATTATCTCAGCAAACCAGTGAGTGTGATAATATTATCTCAGCAGATCAGTGAGTGATATTATGTACATATTGATTTTATTTCTCCAATTACATGACAACGACAAGTTAATTATTCACAAGCATTCAATATAAATCAAATAACTAGCATAGCATATAATCAACAAGTCTTAGTAGAATTTAAAAACTTCATCACTGAAGAAATTTAAAAAATAAGAGAAAATGTTTTAAAACGCGTGAAAAGTTTAAACAAGTACACATAAATATACAATGTATACATATCAGTTGAACAATATTGGATAACAATACATGCACACAAACAAATGTCAAGTTTTATATGTCTTCTAGTAATATATTAAAACACCAAGCACGTTGTGCCATTATATATGTTAACATGATATAACAGCATTCGATTTTTCAAACGCAGGCATAAAGTATAATATATTCTTATACGAAATATTCAATAAGGGGAGTATGTAATAAGATAATTGTCAATATAACAACAGATAAACTGCTTTAATACATAATGCTTTTTAACACTAATAATTGTTTACCAACAACAACTACACTACAATATACTGCAAATGTACGCCTGTATTATCTTTGTAAATGTTGGGCATATATATATATATATATATATATATATATTATATATATATATATATATATATATATATATATATATATTTATCATAGGAACAAAACAGATAATTATATCAATAAGGTTGAAAACTAAAGATATAAACTAAGTGAATATACCAAAGATCATAAAAGAAACAGATCCAACTCAATGATAAAATAGTTAAAAGAAAATATGCTGTGTATGTAGTTCAAACATATACAAACATATATAGTGTTCTAAAGTGTACGTGTAAGTGATCATGTTCAGGTTGCCTGCAACCAATAAACAATTATTAGTGTTAGAAAGCATTATGTTTATCTGTTGTTGTATTGACAATTACGGTGGCCCACAAGTGCCAGCAAACATATCAATTCTTATGGCAAAACAATTTGAAGGCAAAACTCTAAATGTTCGCGTCATTTTTTGAATACCTTCGCCCCAAAAGTATCTCACCCTACAATTATAGGATATTAAAAAGCACGGACGTAGCTCATTCTACTCAGCTTGAGTGTGGGCAAAAATTTACTGTTTTTTTATGTCTATCTTCATTACCGACATTGTTACGCTGTATCAACGTAATCCCAACGCAACTTTGATTGAACTGTAAATGCTGCCATCAAGCTAGAGAATACTATCGCAAAACGCTTGGAAATAATAAATGTAACAACAGAATACGTCCTAGTAATAAAGTAAATGTTTTTGCGAACTTCGTATACGGGACCCGGTTTTAGTTATAAACCGACGTTAGCTTCACGTTCATGTCCTACTGTCATGAATTAGTTTACGCGTATCTGTTGACCGACTTAATTAGCTGATTACGAGCGAATTGCTGTGTTATGCCTGTCATCGTTTAGGCAGGCGAGGTCCTGGACGGAACTTGGCTCAGTGATTTGGAACTAATTACGAGATAACCGTCGCTATTCTGACTACTGTTTCTGACAGTTAGTATCCGTAGTTATTAATGTAGTGAACGATTAATCAAAAGATATGACGTATTCAGTACTTAGTGTGATTGGCTTTATGATTGAAGGTTACGCCCTAGAGTCTTTTTACTGCTTTGTAATTGGTTAGAGTTTTGAAAATGAATAAAGAGAGTTTGAGTTGGTCTTGGGACGAGTCTTGACGCAGTCTTGGGCGAGTCTTATAGGGCGCTGTGTCTTATAGAGTGCTCGACTGTCCGACTAA